GCCAAGAGCGGTTAAAGAGACGGAAAGAGCGGCTCATTGGCGAATTATTGTAGTTGTTGCTGCTGCTGCTGCTATTACGCCGTCTTAACACAAAAGACTGAGGCAACAAACTTTCCGACACTTTTACACTTCCCCAGAAAACAACGCGAAATATTCAAAAGATTCACAAATCATTCAGCACGTATTTGCTGGCCCGGTTCAACCACCCGTCGAGCTTAATAGCTTCCCAAGGGCAACAACAATCAGAGAAAATCACGACAAAAATATCACAAACACACAACAGCAACAACCGCAACTATTTCAAAACTCGGAAACCCAATCGAAAAATCGAAAATCCTCTTCAGCTATGGATAGCCGTTTCAAATCCGTTTGCACGATCCAATTAGAGAACCGGGTAAACGGAGTTCTAGCCGTAGAATTGAATAAAACTCACGCACGATTCGGAATCGAAACGAATCGGAATGGGATCGTATAAGATCGAGGTTCGTTGAGCGCTGTGGATGTGTCTCGCACACCAACCTGGCCAAGACTGACACGGCCGAAACCGAAACGCTCATACTCCGACGAAAACGTCAAGACAACCGGTCTTGCCAAGATTCGGAGTAGCGTCGCTCTGGGGGTTTTCGTATTCGGAGCAATTGGCAAGTCTGGGTTCGCTCTTAAGACTAGCTCTTCTCTGATATATAGTATAATACAGTATGTCCCAGGTTTTGCTGCTGTTTGCGGTCGTCTTGGTGTTGCTGCCAGTTTTTCAGCAGTAACACGTTGTCCAGTTTAGTTGTGATGCACTTGATGATCGTCGGGAGGGACTGGCGGCCACGCTCCGCTGGCTCCCTTTAATACACCTACGGGTACGGGTCCAGATTGTCTTTCTAATGAGTGCGGCATAATTAGATGGTCGGGCGGTGGCAGTGGACATCCCATATCGCAAGGCAACACTAAGAAAAACATAGGGATATTTAGAAAAATGGAAAGATATAGAAAGGGTAGGAACTCATATTGCAGAATATGAAAAAACAATATAAACAAAATTGAACAAATTTAAATCCCCCTTTTTATGATATAAATTATTTAAAATCTTACATTAAAAATAAAATAAAAATTAAAAATATTGGATTTCATTTCCTTGTTGTGAATTAAAAATTATTTTTAGCGATGTTTAATTGTTAGAGATTACATACTGATAAATAAAAAAATTATGATATTTAGGATTTATTTAAGTTTAGCTCTTAGTGTTAATATAAATATATTCACACGCTTTAATTTAAACGAAAATGGAAAGAAAATCTAAAGTTTTTGTTTTCCAAGTTTCATCAAAATTGCTAAAAATGCTAGCAGAGTTTTGAAGGTTTCCTGTGAAATGCTTACATTAAGACTAAATATCTCTATATATATTTCTTGGACGTTGATGCACTACGGTCAGTACAAACAAGTGGCCCTTACGACACCAAGCAATGCTTGTTACGCGCGGAGCCCTAAACCGATTTGGGCAAGTAAACGAAATCGCGGACATGGAAAAAGACGACATAACAATAGACAGTTTAAAATACATGCTCACATAGAATGGCTAGTAACATAGAAATTTACAAATTATTGGAAGATAGAAAATACATAAGTTTATCATAATTAGTTGCATTAGGGCTATCAAATAGTAAGACGTGACACAGTGCATTATAGTCGTCACAAAGAACCCGAAAAGAATCATGAAGGGCATAATTGGATCTACAAATTGGCAGGGTCAACGGACGAAAACGACGAGCTGTTCTACAGGGTACATTCCAGTTGAGGGAACTAAGAAGGACGGGAGAGTCAACATCACCATTAATTAACTATTAATATATCAAGGCCGATGACTTTCAAGTCTGGACTAAATATCTTAATTTTCAGTTGTTTTTAAAGTGTCATTAATTGTAAAAGACGCAAAAAAAGTTTTAAAGATTTCACGTGAAAGGTTTACATAAAGACTCAATATCTAAATTTGCAGTTGTTATCCAAGTGTCTTTCAAAACCCCTCCAGACCAGCGTCAAGCTTTTTAAACACAGCTGTGATATTGGTATGGCAACTGGAAGTCGGGTTCTGCTCAAACTTGGCAACAGATCGCTGCAATTATGGCCAGTGTGTGGGCTGTCACCAGAACACCTTGATGACGGCATATATAGCCACTGCTGAGGCTGATTGCTTGGATCACCGAGGCCTCTCGCTGTGGGACAAATGTTTTATTATCTTTTGTTTTACTTCGGTTGCACATAAATCTTGAACTTGCATTTACATTCTGTGAACCCAGCACCCTTGCACCCTCAAAAACCCAGGTACGAGTACAGGTAGCTGTGACACCTTGAAGACCTCGAATTGTTGTTATATTCGGAGGTCTTTCCCTTGAAGTCACGCGGTTCTGTTTATACTTTTAGTTATACCAATATTTATGATTATTATGCGTGTTCTTCTTTTTGACTTTGTGATCCCAAAGGGTGTACGGAAAATTGGATTTGAGTGGTCGAATTATTCTTTTGAGACGTGAGAGAATTTCCATTAAGAAAAGCGGATTCCCCCAATTATCACTTTTCAGCATTTAAGGTGTTTAACATAAAAAAGCCGTATTCGAAGTTGTCTATGAAATAGTAAGTTATTGAGATAAGAAATTGAAAAAGATTTTTAAGAAGAAAGCTAATAAAAGATATATTTTAATTCAGAAAAAATTAAAATGGTATCTTTTAATGGGTGTATTAATTGACTTATTATTATCTAATAGGTTTTATGATTAAGTATTCTAAAGCTTGCTGTGATTCATAAATACATTTGTAGTTCAGTTACATCATACAAATTCTGAAGACCATTGGCATAGTCAACCCACGTCATTGAATGTCTTTTGTGTGAATTATAGCGCCCACTCTTGCGGAAGTTTATAGAGTTCCCAAGTCCGCAAGTATGTTCCACAGGGGTTAAGTCAATTCCAAGCAACAGTCGTCTGGGGGGACAATCGAACAAACCGAAAAACCACCCCCTAGGACAGCAACAGGACATGGACTTCCAGGGGGAACCGGCCAATTCCCAGAACTCCCAGACCAAGGATTCGATACTAGGTAGCCAGGGGTAACTGTCACTGTTTGGCGTCCGGAAAATTTATTTATCATATCAACTTCGATATAGCCGTGTGGAGAGAGCAGCAAATTAAATCTGAGAAAAATTCAATGTGTGTAGTTTGTCCAGGTCTTTTATCAAATCAGAATCGTTGTTGCAAGAAACTTAACCGGTGTCCTTGTATTGAACCACCATAATGGCGGAGCTTTTGTCCCGCGAGAAGGAACTCTTTAAGATTAACCAGGAGCTTAACCTGCTAACCCTTAGTTCCGCCACCGAATCCATGTATCCCTCCAAAGGATCACCACGATCCACAGCGGTGGCAGTGCCACGATATGCCACCTTCCAGAAGCACAAAGGTCCGAGCAGCCTGCTCCGGAAGAAGGGTGCAGCCACAGCTCCCACAAAGCCCCAACCGGCCGGTAGAGATGCTGCTGCCACTGGCAGAGGAGTTACCACATCTCCACAGCCCGATACGAATCTGCTGACCAAGTCCAAGGCTCCCGACTGGAAGCAAACGAAGACCACGGCCGTTCCCACCTCTCCCACCAGCCGCTTTGTATCCCGGTTTAGCACCTTCACGCGGGATGTGAGCAGCAAGACGGCCACGTATGTCAAGTACCGGAACCCCAACTTCAGCGAGAGTCCTTCGCTGGACGAACTGCTGCGCAACGACGTCGAGGAGACAGCCCGGCAGAAACAGGATGTCGTGGAGGTAGAGGTCACCCAAAAGCGAGAGAGCACAACCATCGTCAATGGCCAGGGTCAGGTCAAGAAGCAGGTCACCAAGGACAACTTCATCAAGTGAGTAGGGGAAAGCATCGAAAAGATAACAATATTAGGTTTTCAAAAGTCTTGTTAACCCAGAATTATAAAATGCTAAAGACATTATAACATTTATGACTTCAGTCGAATTAAATCTGCTTATAGTTACTGTTCAAAACAAAAGACATTCTAATATTTTAAGTTTTAGTCGAACAAATAATAAACTTAAAAAATATACAAATTGGAAATTTCATCAAACTACAATTATACTTTTTAAAATCTTCATCCCTCTCCCATTATAGATTCCTCAAGGCCAAGGTGGCCATTCTAGAGGAGGACCACGCCCATCACTCCGGCGAGTTGACCCGCCAGAAGGAGCAACTTGAGCTCGCACTTGAAGCCCAGCGGAAATCGGAGAATCAGCGCGACCAGGCGCTCAATTCCAACAAACATCTCTCCGAGCAACTGATGCGGGCTGAGCGGCAGTGCGAGGATGCCAACCGGCGGCAGAAGGAGCGGCAGCAGGAGTTCACCACCCAGCAGAGGGAGCTGGAGCAGCTGAGACGGGATGCCAAGGTGTCCAGGCAGACAAATATGAATCTGGAGAACCGACTGTCCCGCGCCCAGGAGGATGCGGACACGGCTCGCCTGGAGCTCAGGCAGTTGCGCGAAGAGCAGCGCGACCAGTTAGAGGTGCATCGGAAAGAGCTGAAGCAGCGGGACAGCAGGATCCGGGCCCTAAAGCGCCAACGGGCGGACCTGCTCAATGCCTACAAGAAACAGCTTTACCTGCTCGACAATTTAAAGCGCCAGACCACCTGCCTGGAGCAGTCGGCGGCCATCGGGTTCGGCGAGAAGGAGTTCAACAAGGTGCTCGAGTGGAACGCTAAGACGTGAGCCCGTCCAGCCCAGGCTAAGCATCTAAGTTAAGCATAACACAGCAATGTAGATAAGTGGAATATAATCACATTTTATGGTCTCACTCGAACAATCCCCAAGCAATCTCGTTTCAATTAGTCGGGGATAACTTGATTAGAAGGGCTGCGGCTGCATCCTTTTGCTTGGTTGGCGGGTATAAAAGTCTGCGATTCGGCTTGGATTGTCACAGAAACATCCGGTCTTTACCAGCACTCAGTCCATCCTTCGCACACTGCCCACAACGCTCACCGAAAACTGCAAGATGGCTCTGCGATTCACGCTCACTCTGCTCCTGGTCACGATCCTGGTTTCGGCCATCCTTCTGGGCTCCAGTGAGGCTGCTTACAGGAAGCCTCCCTTCAACGGCAGCATCTTCGGCAAGCGCAACAGCATGGGTAAGCTTTCAAACTGCATCAAGATTCAAGATTCGTTAGAAACACACAAATCCCCATCCAGACTACGACAGCGCCAAGATGAGCGCCGTTTGCGAGGTGGCCATGGAGGCGTGTCCCATGTGGTTTCCCCAGAACGACAGCAAATAGGACCACGCCCTGGAACTCAGCCTACGCCTCCGCCTCCAAGAACTGATCTCGAGCCTACGACTAACGCACCAGCAGACCAGACAGGTGGGCAGATGCTGCGCCTGCGCCTGCTCCTGCGACTGAATGGGGAAATGCCGGACGTTAGAAAATTCATGTATAAAATTTATAGTGTAAGCCGTGCATATAGGTACATAGATCTTATGCCATACATATTCATACAATACTCAATAAACTTACAGCACTGAAGTCTCTTTTCAAAAAGAAATATTCTAATAGATACCCGGCTGCGAACAGCACTCGCTTGAGATACAATGGGATTAAAGTTAAAATACAGTTTGCTGATCTGCTAGTGGGTCCTGGGTGCTCGGCCCCGCCCCCGATACCTCAGTTCGTTGACATGCTTGCGCAGGTTGGTTATGTAATCGGTCATGGAGGAGGTGAGGGCCTGAAAGGAGTTACTTATTATAATAAAATATGAGCAGATAGGACCGACAGCACTTACTGCATCCAGGACATAGCGGGGAATATAGCCTTTTAGGTCCAAGCACAGCACCCATTCCACAATGCAGCTGTCCGACTTTCCAACGATTTCACGAAAGGCAAACCCGCTGACAATGTTCTGACCCCTGAAATTGTAAGAGCCAAAAGTAAGTTTTTAATTTCATCCAATTTTATAGCTCCCTAAACCCACCTTGTATACTTAGATGAGGGCGGAACCCCTGCATATTGCACACTTATCGCCGAGGTAACCCAAACTTTGTCCTTGGTCTTGCCCACGCTGGGTGGGTTTGGTTTTGTCATGTTCTCCGCCTCCCCCTCGACCTTATCCTTGGCATCCTCGAACTCGTCCTGGTCCAGTGGCGGTGGCTCTTCCTGAAAATTGACAATGGGACCCAAGCTCTTGGCGCCCAAGCTGTTGCCCAGAGTGTCGAAGGGAGTCGTGGCTCCCTTGGATGAGCTAGGAAAAGTCGCTTTGCAGCTGGACACGCTGCTGGGCAGCAGTGGAGTGTTCGAGTCCCCATCTGAAAGGGTGCTAACACTACCCTCGCAGGAGCGATTCAGGCTGCTGTTGCCATCATCACTGCTGAGCTGAGCCGCCTCATCGTCATCGCAGATTTTGCCATTGTAAAAGAGACGACAGGAGCGCAGGTTCACAAAGTCACGGCTTTTCACCATGCCACCTCCTCCCCCAACTGATACCTGATAGGTAATATCGGTGTAGGAGTTGATTTTCTGAAATATATGGCCACTATTAGCAGAGGTTCTTGATCACTTTTTAGAAGGCCAACTCACTCGAACTATTTTGGACTCCAGAAGAGCAGGATTCCACTTGGGGCAGTCTTCAATGCGATAGAATAAATCTTCCATCAGCGCCTTTGCGGGGTACTTGATGCGGGCCTGTAAATTATATATATTATAGGATTCCCATAGGTTTGTATATGCTCCAACCCACCGTCAACTTGTAAATCTTTCCAACTTTCTCCCGCTGGGTGGTGTGAATGGTGTCGCCCTTTTGGGTCACCTTCTCCACCTTCCACTCGCTGGACTCTATGATCTCATAGGCCTTTCGCAGGCAATCCAAGCCCATCTGGTTGTACTCCTCATCCTGAAATCCGAATGAATAATAACAATTAATAGAGAAAGAACTCCAAAAAGTACCGATGCCATCTTAAAAGGCTCTATTGTTTAGTGGTGATCCAATCATCCGCTCTGCATCTTATATGGTCGCCAGACTTACTTTCCTATTCCGGAGAGACTTAAAAATGCGCATACATGAATAGCTTACCTCCTCGTCCTCCTCGTCGGAGTGACGAGCTGTATCCATCGGTGAATAAAAATCAGTTACACTTTGCGGAGGTCGTTCATGCTCTATCAGAATGGCCGGCTGATCCATGGGGGTTCGATCGTTTGAGGTCATTGCTTTAATAAATAATTCAATTAAAACGTAATCTGATAACGGAGGTGTGGCTGCTGATCTTACTCCGAAAATAGTGTTGGGCATGACGTTCCTGGGGAATCACCCTGCAGTCCAGGAACCAGGCTTCTCCCCAAGCCAGTATAAACGAGGTTATTATAAGGATGACTTCGAATACTTGTTGCTTGGAGTCCAGCCACTAAAAAGAGGATAAAAAGTTAGTTATAAGACAATATGGGTGATAGGTTTCCTGGTCTTACATCGAACACAAACACCTTGGAGATGAGGAACAAACAAGAACCACTTGTAGAGAGCTGCAAAAGAGAAGAATATTTAGTTTTATCGAAATTTTCTATAAAGGATTGCTAGACAAGTCACTGCCAACCAAACTCCAACCGAAAGCCTGTATAAATTCGTTTGGAATTCGACTGAAAGGTATTTTTGTAGCACGCAAAATAAACATCTAATATACAACTATAGTATTATGACTTATAAAACTATGAATATTATCTTGTAATAATCTTTTTCCTAATTTGGTTTCGGAACTTCGATTTTTTCAGGAGGTAGTGAAACCCACCGCTATAATGGACCAGTGATTGATGTACAGTATGGCGTAGAAGAAAATGAGGACCACGAATCGGCAGATGGCGATGGCCACGACATCGAACAGCGACTTGTAAACGGTGTACTCCACGATCTGTTTGTGGAAGGCAGTGAATATATTGTCGCCGTTGATCTGCAAATCAAAGTAGAAGAATGAGTCTCATTAGAATAAACCCTGTATCATGAATGGATGAGTCCCGGATGGATGAATAATCATATATCATACCACAATGCAGATGAGCCAGAGCAAGGAGACGAAGACCAAGTCGAATGTGACGAAGAGGCAGAAGAATCGTCGCACCACGGACATCCTGCCATCGGACATGTAGCCGGCTAGAAACTCCTCCGTAATCAGGTTAATGGAATGTGCTCGGCCTGAAATCGGAGGAAAATCTTTACTGTTGGTATGGAATAGATAGAATTATCCGATGGTATACTCACTCATATCATACTGCAAGTTGTAGGCGCTATTTCCCTGCCGAGCATTGGATAATATGAGCTGGGCGGTGCTACGGACATCACTTGGATCCATTAGAGACATGGTGGTTGTTTTTAACTTAGCTCATGTCTTGAATACTGAAACACCAGTTTCAAAAGTTATAAACTAATATAAAAATCGTACTATGCACATACCTTGGTTTTCAAATGTAAATCGACTTTGCGATCCCAAAAACTAGGTTTCAAATGTGGAGCAGGCGCTAGTTATAGATTATCGGCACTTATAGATTATTGATACGCACAAGTGACTCGTCAGCCTCGGTTTCTTTGTTTTTTCCGCAGCAATAAACAAAACGAATCATATCATATTGCAAGAACCCGCATAATTGGCAAGTAACTCCCTATTCCCAGCAATTCCTATTTAATGTTGGAAACTAATTAATAATACTGCCGAAAACAAATCTGTTTCCGGTTCGAATAATAGTAATATTGTTATATTTGCCCTAGTTTTCTAGTTTTTATTAGTATTCTAGTTTTTTTATTCTGAACAAAAGGAACCGAACGCAAAAACAGCTGTTTAGTGAGTCGCACTTGAAGAACACAAAAATACCAGCTTCCTAAAAAATACCAAAGTTTTTTAAGCGCACTTCTAAACTTTTTTAAATTCGGGTAATCTTCAAAGCTTTATTTAAAATTTCTGTCTAATTACTTAAGTGTATAGATATAATTTTAATGTCATCGTAGGGCTTGTCTGTCTTGGGATTCGCCTTTGAATTGCAAATGTTGAGCACCACTTCCATGCCGCGGTAGACCCGTCCGAAAACCGTATGCTTATTGTCGAGCCAAGGCTGAAAATTGGGATACATTAATGTTTATATTAAATAAATTAAGGAATATGTTCCTACCGTGGGCAGAACTGTTATGAAGAACTGGCTGCCATTTGTATTTGGACCCGCATTCGCCATGCTAACCGTATAGGGACGATCGTGCTTTAAACTCGGCACGAACTCGTCCTTGAAATCGCTTCCCCAAATGGACTTTCCGCCTGTACCCGTTCCCGTAGGATCGCCAGTCTGCACCATGAAGCCCTTGATCACGCGGTGGAAAATGTGTCCATTATAGTACCTGTTAACATGGTGTGATTAAAATGTGTATTCCAAATCGTTATCCAAATATCATACCCATTCTTCGCATGAACGCAAAAGTTCTCAACCGTTTTTGGAACCTCCTTGAAAAACAGCTTTATGTGGACATCACCTTTCGTGGTGTGGAGCACCACGTTCTCGTAGATACGTTGCACGACTAGAATAAATCAAACATTTTGTATTAATTTGGTCTTGAAAGTTCGCATAAGGATAACCTTCGTCTTGAAATATTGTTAGCGTGCGATAAGAAATTGGTTAGTGATTAGTAAGGGTTGACCAATTAGAAGTCATGACCAAATACCTGTGGCTTCCGGCACCGCGATAATGTCCTCCTTCGAAGGCTTCTCATTGAAGATATCACGATCCACATCCTGCAGATCCGATGGCAATCTTCGGCTGAACAAGTAGAAGCGGTTTTTTCTACAAAAGGATAGTAATAAATAATTATAAACCATATAAACTTATACATAATTATTAACTAACTTATAGGCAGTGCAAAAGGCTGTTGGATCGTTCAAAATATTCTGCAGTGCTGGGTTCTCACTGGCCTCCTGCTCCATGGTTATGGCAGCTTTTTGTCGTTTGATCCTTCCCTGGAAGAGGGCCACCTGCAGGGGCCGGATGTTGTCCGTTTTTCCTAGAATTGTTACGCAGCGATTCGTGACCACATTGATCACCTTGATGCCCAGCATCGTGGGGTACAGTAAAAAGTTGCCAGTGCTATCGAATAGAATGTTGAGGGTTGTGTTTTGAGCTGTCTTCTCCAGATCCCGCTCAGCCGCCATTCTGCAAGAGATAATAATTAATGTCAGATTGCTCATTAAGGCGATATATGTATCTAGTTTACCTCCGGCCAAACTCCATGTTGGGCAGGGCGTGCTGCGTCTGCTGCATTTGGGTGTATGTTGAAAGCGCTTCGTCGAATACTCGGATCAGCTTTCCCGTGTTGAACTGAAAAACGCGAACCTTGCGATCTGTGCAAATGGCGGCAAAGCGCTTGCCATCCGGCGTGCAAGCCAAACCAGTGACTTGGGTCTTTTGCTTGGCAAACTCAAAGAGGCCTGTAGAGTTAATGAGTTCAGTTAAATATGAGATAGGTTGACTCCATCAACGAACTATACTTGTGTCCAGTTTGGAGTCGAAGTTAACCAAGCGCTGGGGAAATTTGTAGTCGTGCTTGGAGTTCTGCCAGTACTCCAGAATGCCATTGCGATCCACGGATATGACTGTCTCCATTGCCACATTTAAGCACATGGCCACCACAGGCGCAGAGTGAAGTTTCTCCAGGGTGTGCAGAACCTCTCCACCTCCCTGTCCGTCGTATATGTGGATCCGGCTGCTCTCCGAGTCCGTACTGAAAGGGGAGCAATGCTTACTGTCCAGTCTTTTGGGAATAAATACCTACTTACATGGCCAATCCTTGCACCGCATCACCCGGTCCATTGATCCACTCACTGCACTGCGGCGTATAGCCCAAGCGAATTATGTTGATCATGTCAAAGTTAACCACATCGAAGACCTTGGCTGTTTGATCAGTAGCCGCCGAGCAGAGCAGAGTGCCGCTGTCGTTGGTGGTCAGTGACTTAATGGGCACTAGATGGCTGCGGAAGTGCTTGACAAACTCTATGCCCAGCTCGCCCTTTTTCCAGAACTTGATGTGGCCATCCAGACTGGCGGTCACCACAAAATCCGTCTTGGTGCAGACCAAGTGGGTGATCACATCGCGGTGCATGTAGCTCCTCTCGTAGCTCTCGGCGTTGGGCAGGTTCTCCAGGTAGATGTGTTCGTAGGGCAGGACTATTAAGTGATTTATTTATTATTTAAATGTGTCAATGGAGGGAATCTGGCTTATAGTTACCCTTCTTTTTCTTGGCCGGCACAGGTGCGCTCTGCTCTGAAGGCATGGGACCTATCCAGGCGTCCTCCTCGGGCGCCTCTTCTGCGTGAGGTTCTTCCTCCTCCTCCGGAGCACTGCGCTTAAGATCATCCTTGGGTGTATCACTCATTTTCGAGTATTTTATTAATTTAATGAAATAAACAAAAACACAGGGAAAGCGGATGATATCGATAGACCGCCTGATATCGATTTTTGCCGCCAATCAGCTGTTTTCGGGCAGGGGTGAACGGCTGTCGGCGCTGCCAAGTGAATGGCAAGCAATTTTTCACATTCACACAAATTGCAAACACAACAAGGCACGGAGATTTAAACAAATTAATTGTATATAAAAACGCAAGCCCAGCGATGCAGAACATAGCGGACGAGGAGGGCGCGACGCCCAGTCGCGCGGCAGGGGGCGTGGCCAAAGACGGAGACGATGGGGGCGGAGGAAGTAGAAGCGGAGGTGGTGGCAACAACACAAACAACAACGCTAGCGGCATCATTGTTTTGAGAGCTGCGCTGGGAGAGAACGAGACGAGCGCGGTAATCAATAAATGGCGGGTTCGCGAGGGACAGTTCGTGTCGGCGGCCCAAATCCTGTTTCTCTACACGCCGGTGGGCGCGGACGGGAAACCAGGTGGCGGATCTGGAAAAGCTGACTCCTCCATCCAGAAGTACAAGTCCCAGCGCGCCGGGGTGGTGAAGAAGCGGCTCCGCAAGGACGGGGAGCTGCTCTCCAAGGGGTGAGTTTTGGGGTGGCTTTGGGCCAGTGGGGCAGTGGGGGGAATGCAATTATGCAGTCGTATACACACTAACCGAGCCTGCCCTTTAGGGATGCCATTCTGGTGTTGTCCGAGTGCATACACACCACGGTAATCAAGGACATGTGCGCGGACTGCGGAGCCGACTTGCGTCAGAACGAGAATGTAAGTACATAGCCTAACCACCAGCCACCCACCAACATGATGAATAATTAACCCGCCACTTGAACCCACAGGGACAAACATCGGAGGCCTCGGTGCCCATGGTGCACACCATGCCCGATCTTAAAGTTACCCAGAAGCTGGCCCAGAAGCTCGGACACGACGACACCCGACGACTGCTGGCCGACAGGAAGCTGGTGCTACTCGTCGATCTTGACCAGACAGTGATCCACACCACCAACGACACGGTGCCGGACAACATAAAGGGCATCTACCACTTCCAGCTATACGGCCCACATTCCCCGTGGTATCACACGCGCCTGCGCCCCGGCACCGCCGAGTTCCTGGAGCGCATGTCCCAGCTGTACGAGCTGCACATCTGCACCTTTGGTGCGCGCAACTACGCGCACATGATTGCCCAGCTCCTGGACCCCGAGGGCAAGTTCTTTTCGCACAGGATACTGTCCAGAGATGAGTGCTTCAATGCCACCAGCAAGACGGACAACTTGAAGTGGGTTCCCATTAATTCATCTATTATACTGTACCAAACTAATGATTGGTTAATTACAGAGCTCTCTTTCCGAATGGCGATTCCATGGTGTGCATCATCGACGATCGGGAGGATGTGTGGAACATGGCCTCCAACTTGATCCAGGTTAAGCCCTATCACTTCTTTCAGCACACGGGTGACATTAATGCCCCGCCGGGTTTGTCTAAGCATGAACTGGATGGCGAAGGCGTTGATTTCAAAGGTGAGCACTCCAGCCAAACCATTACCAAATATATCTTAAACATTTTTCGTTTCCTACAGAGATTACCGAGAAGAAGGAGGACAAAGACAAGACGGAGTCCAGCAGCGAAGTGAAACCAGAAGACCCTGATAAGGGCGACAACACAGTCTCAAGCACAAGCAAAGACGATGAGGGGAATGAGGAATCAGTTGACGTATTCGAACTGGAGAGTGACGCCAAGGATCCTGAGATTTCCGATTCCTCGATACCCGCAGAGGCACCCAAGGAGCCGCCAAGTGACAAATTAAATGGCAAGACTGTATCAGAGGAAATCATGGTCATAGACGATAGTTCATCTGGCTCACCAGATGCTGAGAAAGCGGCCAGCGATGGCGAGGACGTAGTTGTTATTGATGATAATTCCAAGGAGAGCACAAAAGCCGAGGTGGTGGATGTCACACCGGCAGAAAAGAACGAGGTGGTGCCTTCATCCACTACTTCGCCGGAGGAGAAAAGCCCGACAAACGATGAGGACGTGGCCACCACGTCAAAAAGCACACCCAACCTTCGAGTGCCTCTCGAAGGGCAGAAACAGATAGAGATTGAGGATCCCGACGATTACCTGCTTTATCTGGAGGTCATACTGCGCAACATTCACAAGCGATTCTATGCCATCTACGACGAGACCACGGAGATACCCGATCTAAAGGTCATCGTGCCGAAGATTCGGTGTGAAGTGCTGCGCGGCAAGAACCTGGTGTTCTCCGGCCTGGTGCCCACGCAGATGAAGCTGGAGCAATCACGGGCATACTTCATCGCCAAGAGTCTGGGCGCAGATGTGCAGCCGAACATTGGCAAGGGGATCACGCATCTGGTGGCGGTTAATGCGGGCACCTACAAGGTAAATGCCGCGAAGAAGGAGGCCACCATCAAGGTGGTCAATGCAAACTGGTTGTGGACCTGCGCCGAGCGCTGGGAGCATGTGGAGGAGAAGCTCTTCCCATTGGACCGCAAGGTGCGCAACAAAGGCCGCCAGCCACCCGCCCATTGCCACAGTCCCGAGCACGTGGTCAACTACAGCGAACGCTCAGAGATCTCACCGTCGAGCAGCAAACAGCAGGAGGAGCAGAGCGGCAACTTCCGCGAAACGCTCAATCCGCTGCTGGTCTTTACCAACGCGGACATCGAGTCGATGAACAAGGACTACGAGACATTCTTCGAGTCGGACTCGTCAAGTGACGAGGGGCCCGTAAACTTTGGTGAGACTTTTACTTATTAAATGCGAAACACGTGGCACTGATTAACTCTACTGCTTTAACTAGCATCCTTGATTACTGTTGAATCTTATTCGAATGTTTCTAATTAATTCCAGAAAACCCACCAATGGACAAGAAGCTGCTTAAGAGAAAGCGCGAGGATGATAATTCCAATAGAGCCCACGACTTCTTCACGCGCAGCGAGGACGTGATGATCGGAGCGCCGAACGTCATTGAGTTTGACATAAGCTCAAACGAAGAGGGTGATGACAATAATGAGAAGGAGGATGATGACGATGAGATGCCCAGCGCGAAGTTTCGACGAGGTAGGTCATTCACACATGGAGTGATTCCATGACTTTTAATTTACCAATAAACCTTTCAGGGGAGGATCTGCCTTCCGACCTGGAGATTGGCTCCGACTCGAACAGCGAGAAAGACCCGGAGGACGAGGACGACGGCGAATGGAACATGATGGGCGCCGCCCTGGAGAGAGAGTTCCTCGGCCTGGAAGACTTTGACATTTAGAAATTCCGCAACATCTTCGAACACCAGACAGGAGCCTGAGTCCCCGCATTGGAGGCCTGCTGCCCGGCCACTCAAGACATTTTAGTTTCACTGTAGACCATGGAGGAACGCAATGGGATGGGTTTCGTGCTAGAGTGGAGCATCCGGGTACATTTATGCTTAGGGTCCGCACTGTATGTATTAGCTGTTAATATGTACTTTTAAAGTAGCCAGTAAGAGATCGCACATCGGCGGGCGCCTCGGTCCTTTAGTCGCAGTGAATTTTTGAATCAAAAACTCTCAATCTGATCTAATGTAAATTGAAGCCTACTGTACATGTTTTAAAAATAAATTCCGTTTCAGCGGACTAGTATCTAGTGTTTAATTTAATATCGAATGTACACCACACCAGTAGATGTTTATTGTTTGCGTTGTGTTTGTAATACAAATCCACATTAAACTTGAACAAATATACTAGTAATGCCTAGCAGAAGTTTTACTCTTCGCTACGTTCTGTTGAGGGCCCGCTGCTCCTTGAAGCGGCTAACCCGCTTCTTGGGCGCATGCGAGTCGATGAATTTGCCCTTCGGCAGGGGCTCCGGTTCTGTGGGCTCCTTCTCCACGAGATCGTGCATGACCTTCTGGTATGCACTCATATCGCGCAGATCGTCGTCCAGGGTGCGCTCCTTTTTCTTCTGTTTCCTACCCTTCTTGCCTTTCTTTGGCTGTTGGTTGACAACGTGCGGCTCCAGCTCCACCGCCTCTTTGTTCCTCAGAATTGACTTGGTTGTTGGATCGGGGACAGTTGATTCTTCCTCAGCAGCAGTTGGCTTGGAGAACTGCAAAGCAAATACATTAGGCTCTACCCTTGACTCGTTTTGATAATCTTACCTGGCTTCTAGGATCTTCGTAGGCTGATCCACGCGAAGCTTCGCTCATTATTGGGACTTTAACCTCCTCTTCGCCCTCAAAGCCATTTACATAAATGGGAAACGAATTATTCTGCTGCGCCAGGTCCTTTTCATATTTCTCATAGAAATCTCCTGGGTTTCCAGGTATGGCACCGTCTTGATCACTTTTTGGAGAAGGCACTGCATCGGAATGTGTGAAACTAATGTGTAAAGTGTTAATACGTCCAGTGGACTCTTCCAAAATTCGATTGAGCAAATCAAAGTCCTGGACACTCTGGTTCTCCTTGACGAACTCGAGGTTTTGTTCAACTTTTTGCAGGATATCAGAGTTTGTTCTCCGCTCTTTTTTACTGGCAATTGGTCGGGGAGTCACTGGGGATTTGACTGGTTCATCCAGCTTTATAACATCCCTGGAGTTCTTTTTCGCATTGGGCAGCATTTCGGCCACCGTTTCCTCCCTTCTGAACTCCAGCTTTTCATCGGCCACGGCGAAGGATATGCGTCGTTTACTTGTGCTGGCTTCAGGTACTATTTCAGGTTCCTCAATTGGCTCCTCTGGTGGTCTGTTTTCATCGACCTCCTCTTCCTCGCTGGCCTCCATTTGCTGCTCGAATATCATGTCCTGCAGGTCGTCCTCCAGCATGACCACCACATTCATCAAGTGAATCAGCTCGTCGCTGATAAAGTTCACCTTTTGTATCTTCCTCATCTTCGCTTTGAGTACTTGTAGTTGATCTCTGAGGAAGGGCTCACGCTCTTCGCTGGGCAGCAGGGCCATCTGTTCCCGTATGGTATGCACCTCCTCTTCTTGGTCACCATCATCATCCTCGTCGTCTGAGGTGGGTTTCTCAATCTCCACAGGCTCTTTGGGTCCTGCAATACGTTTTTTGGCACAAGGAGCTTCTGTGGCTCCAGACATTAGCCGACGCACAAGGTCATCCGTACTCTTTAGGCTTTCTTCTGCTTCTGGGCTGAGCTCTCCAGCTTCGTTCTGCTCCCCAGCTTCCAACTTCTTCCACAGCTCCGCCTCCTTTTCCGGCGTGAGGGTTCCATTTTTATTACTAGCTTCCTGAGGTGCTTGATCCTCATTGAGCAGGTCTTGGAGTTGCTCTTCGTTAACATTATCGGGATCTAAGCCTAGTTCCTCCATCATTTCACGCTCTTCCAGCTTCCGTAGCACTTCGTCACCGCTTCCAGGGGGTTCCGCCTGCCGTTTAAGGCGCTCCTGTTGCTTCTGCTGTCGCACTTGCTCCCTGTGCTCCGTCATCCACTTGTTGTGCGACTCCTCGTTGAAATCCTCCACGATTTCCACCTGATCCCCACTGGGCACCGCTCCCTCCGCCAGTGGAGTATTGAGTTTGTTTCTGTGGGGCAAGCGTAAACATTACTTTTTCCGATTTCTGCTTGTGTAACCTGATCCACTTACTGCCAGAGATCGGACTCGACTTCCAGCTTCTTCAGCTGCTCCTCGGCCAGTTTCAGGCGGTGCCGACAGATCTCCTTGGCCTTGTGGGCAGAGCAGGCTGAGAAGTAGCCATCGTAGTGGCCCACCAGCAGCTCGTTGGTGTGGATCAGCTCGCCGGGCATCAGAGCCTTTCGGCCAATGGGCACCATAACCTCCACGCTGAGCTTCTGGGCGAACAGGTCCAGATTCCGGATGGTGCTCTCATTATCGCTCTTGAAGGCCTGCCAGCGCTCCGTTTCGCCGGCGTTCTTATCGAGGGCCTGTCGTACAGGGTAATCCCATAGTAACTTCACTTAGGTAAATTAATAAACAATAAAACCTGTAGCAGAGCATCTTCTCGCCGGTCCATTTTTGTTGTTGCTGTTCCCACGATGGTATCGATAAATCGAATACTAGGTTTTGCGAGGGTTTCAAAAGTAAACAATATTTTTTAGGTGAATTATTTGCGGACCATTTTGTAAAGTTTATTTTTAATAATTTCCCTTTAATTCAGATCGATAACCAATGATCAAGAACGCGGCCAAAAACCATGCTGTTATCGATATAAGTAAGCTTGAACCTATCGGTTTTAGTGTGACCTTCAATTGGATTACATGAACTTTAAACCGCCAAGTTTCGAAATTGCTTTATTTATAAAAAAATAATCGAAATTATCAAAAGTATTTATATTATATTTCCATATACCTGACCTGACATACCTGAACATAGCAACCATTGGGTCAATATATATTAAGGAAGTCTTGCCTGCGCTCTATTCATAAGTTTGATCATAGTTATATTCTTAAAGTTACCTTTATAAAAATAAATAAACAATAAGTTATCAGACTTTCAAAATAATATCCTAGTTTCTTATGTTATTATCAAGCTGAATACGAAGCTGCTTATTTCTATGACATATTCAGTGGGATTAATAAATTCGATGCCTTTGAATAAAATGCTCTTACATACGTTTATCAATATTGATCCTTTTGATCTAAAGAATTCGCGAAGTGGACTTTTGTTTGAGAATAAAAGATATAAAGTGCAAACGTCCTTTACCAACATTGAATATCATAGTGGGTCAGAATTAGGCCTGCGCTAAGCCATTTCCTTATACGACCCGTCCGATTTATGTATTATATAATCTTTTCCATAAGTATTAAAGTTGCTTCCGTAGTTTGGCAAACAAAGTAGAGATAAGAGCAGATAGCACGAGAGCGTTCCATATGTCAGATAATAAATCTGCGACCCCTACAGCTAATTGCAATGTGGTGATACCCAATCTTTGCACACCATATGTTGTCATTCGATAAGGGGGCTTCCCGTTTCTGAAGAGCACGTTAAACAATTGCGGGTAATTACGAAATTAAAATGTGATTGATTTGAACTTTATTAGGCTGCGGGCATTTGCTAAACACAAGCTCACTCGTACATATTAAAAACGCATCCCAGATTAACAGGTTGCTCACTATGCTACTGCCTGGACTAGGTCACATCGAACAGATTGCTTCGTGGGGGCGCGCTTTATGGGGCGATATTGTTCGGCTAGTTCACACATTTAGATTTCCACACACTACATGACCTGTGGACATGGGCTTCTGGTTGATTGAAACGGTATATACATAGAAAATATACAGGGGGATAAAGCTTTTGTTGTCCTACGATCTTTGTGCCTCAGTTGCGATGCGCATTGGAAGATGAGCTTCCGAGCACGGGAAAGTTCTTGGTCAGCTCATGCGCCTGCTGGTGGCCCTCCAGGTCGGCGGTGATGAGGATCTGTTTGCAGACCTTGCAAACTTCAAGTGTGGGCACGGATTTGCGCTGGGCGGGCGAAAGGCTGTTCAAATGTTGTTTGTGCACCAAATAGAGTTCCTGAAAGTGGACGAAATGAAAGGGTTAGTGTGTAAATAACAAGGTACTTCAGCAAAGACTCTTGCCTGTTGCTTGCTTATATCGGGCAGCATGGCCAGCAGCTCCGGGAACAGGTTGTTGAAGGAACTCAGCATGGCGCACTGGCAGTGCTCGTAATACGCTTGACCAGTACAGGATCCGTCGCGGAATTTGGACGACAGCATGCGAAATTCGTTTAATGCCTCTGGGGTCTTAAGTAAGCCCATGACCTCGTCCACCAGTTTCTAGAGAGGAAACCCATGTTATAATAAATTCTAAGCAATAACTATAAATAATCTATTACCTGGTTCCTCAATCCGGTATCTGGTGGATCGGTGTACGTATAGGGGCTAGGTACAATGTTATAGGACTCGCCCAGCGAACTGGTGAACGTGAGATTGTTGGGCAACTTGGCCACCGAGTTGACCGTCACATTGGACACGAATCCTGGTGGTGGCTTGAGCGGTCCGCCAGATCCTAAGCCAGGTGGAGCGCGTATTGGCGTAGCTGGACCCCCGTTGGATTTTTGTTCGTTGTTATTGTTTTTCTCTTTCTGCTTGACCAGCTTGGGCTGATTCTCCTGATTGTTCTTCTTATCCTTCGGTTTTTTATCTTTTTTGTTTGCCTGTTGCTCCTGGACATTATTGTTATTTGCCTTGGGAGCGGGTCTGGATGTCGGCGTGGGCAAAACCGGCGCAGGGGCCACCTTCGCCTTGCGGTTCTCCAGCTCCCGCTGTTTCTTCTCGGAAGTTGGCTTGGACCAGTTCAAGGAGGCAGGTCCGCTGGCTGGCTTCGCGGCATTCGCTCTGCTGGAACTGGCACTGGCACTCGGTCCTAGGCTGGGAAATTCCGATGCCGTGAGCTTGGGCGCACTCTTCTTCAAGGCCTCTTGACGCGCCTTGGCCTCATCCTCCTCCTTTTGCACCAACTGCAGCTTGTGAAAGTTGGTCGGATTGGCCACCGACACGTAATCATCAGCCAGGGACCGATGCTTTGCCGAAATATTCGTCATGGGCACTGCGGAGCCGCTGGGCAGCATGTCCTCCTCCAGGTTGCGTAGGTTTTTCTTGTTGCCCTTGCCCGGCAGAGCGGGGAAGTCTAGCTGCGGAGCGGCTGCCTTTTTGGGAACCGCTGCTCCTGGTCGATTGGACACATGCAGGAGCATTCCATTGCTGGCTGCTGGCCCACTGCGACCGCCAGAAGATGCCGAACTTGTGGGCTTTTTAAAGACAGCCGCCACGGGATGCTGGGACTGGGCAGCTCTGGCGGCGAGGGTGCTGCCGGTGGGGCCAGCACCGCCACCTCCATTTCCCCCTCCCAGGGCCGGGAAGTTCTCTTTGGTCCGAGCAAGACCGGAGGTGCCACTAATATTGCGCATCGAGGGCGGCGGTGGTCTAACCAAGGACACGCTGGGTGCCGTGGATGCGCCTCTCAAAGTGGGGAACTGCTCCTCATTGCCAGCATCGATGCTTACGTGGCGCTGGCTACCCGTTGGCAGCTCGTCCAGGTAATCGTTGTGCTCTTCATTTCTGTAAGTTTACCAGGTGTTAAGGATCTGTCTACGCTTTGGAAGACAACCCACTCACCTGGGTCTCATGTTGGCTATGCCCTGCTCCGTCTGGCCGCTGCGCCCGCGCGGTCCCAAGGTAATCTCTAGCTGCAGGGTCCGCGTTTGCTTCGCCTGCTGCTTGTTGAGGGACTTGCCGTGCACATTGGCCACGTGAGCCTTGTACTCGATCTCGTTGCGGAATGCGCCCACGAACTGCTCGGTGGCGCACTTGCCCTCCTCGCAGAGGAAGTGCTCCTGTCGGAAGTGGTCCGCCAGATCCGCGTAGTCGTTATAGAATTCATTGCAGCCGTCGGCGTCGCAGAAGTGACAGAAGTAGTGCTCGCGCCGCAGATGCCGGAACAGCTCGTCGCGGTCCAAGTAGCGCTTCTTGCAGTACTCGCACAGCGGATGGCCGCGATGCGAGCGATTGTCCGGATCGCCCTTGGTGTTGTGCAGCTGCAGCTCTGCCTGAGTGTAGCACCTGCGCTCAAAGGTGAAGATCTTGAGGGTCTCAACGCAGAGGTCGCAGTACAGCAGACTGTGCTCGCTGCGCACATGGTTGCGAAGGCCCTGGAAGGTTCGGTATGGAGGGGCGTCGCATCTGTAAATGTATATTGTGTAAAAGGGGGAATCCCCTAGCTAACTGGACACACTCACTTAGGGCACGGATGGTCGAGCAGCTTGAAGAACTGCTGCTGAATCTCTGCGGTGCAGAAGCCGATGCGGTACTTCTTGCTGTAGAAGTCGGAGCGGTTGTTGGCCTCCAGTTCGCGGTAGGGCAGCTTCTCCAGGGTAAACAGGACCTGTAGGAGGAATGCTATTAACAAGGGGTTCATTTAGAACCAGGGTAATTCTACCTTCGACAGGACGTGGCGGCAGATGGGGCACTCGTTCTGCTGGCAAAGCACCCTCATCCGAGTGGAGCACTCGTAGCAGACGGGATGATCACAGTCGCCAATGGAGTAGATGTCCACGTTCTTGAAGCACACCACGCAGGCATTATCGTCGATGCCCACCGTCTGGTTATCAGTGGCATCCGGCTTGGCCGCGGAGTTCTCCGTGCCAGTGGCGTTGGGCACTCCGGATCTGGGTCGGCGGTGGTAGGATGTCCGGGCCGCTGATCTTGGCTTTCCGTTCTGCATTTCTCTAGAGAGTTCGGCGAGTGGAGAGGGGAAAGTTACTTGTTGCCAAGGGCACTTGGAAATGGGAGCGCAGGGACTGCTCTCTGGTGATTCGGCTGGGTTCCACGGATCTTGGGGACTTCTTCGCCTGCGCAAGCTTCGGAAATCAAACAATTAGGGGAATATTTGGAACGCCAACACGTTTTTTTAACGAAAAAGAAAACTCTGAAATTGGGAAACCCGATTGCCGTTTATCGATAAGACGAGCTGGCAGCCCTGGAAGAACCGATAACAAAAGGACTGGTGGTTATCGATAAGACCCGTTGGCAGCCCTGGAAGAACCGATAACGAAAATACGGACAGTTATCGAAAGCACCTGCTGGTAGCCCTGGAAAAACCGATAGCGCGCGGGTAAAAGTCTGATGTTTTATCTTTACATTTCGAACATAAAAAATAATCAATGAATAACTTTACAAAGTAGACACTGATTATATCGCAACTTATGTGACTTAAAAACTAATTAAACAGTTCACAGTTTTCAGTAAATTTAGAATTTTCAGTTTTTTATGGTTTTAAAATAGTTAAATCTTTCGTACCCCAAAATAAATTATTAAGTAACATAGTGGTATAATTTTATTTAGCCCTTTGCTTACAAATAACACTTTATAATTTATAAAAGATAAATTTCATAGGCCTGACAGTGAAATACATATCATCTGAACATGGATTTTTTAAACGAGCATTTTTTAGTTTTGAAGTCCCACCAGCACTCATTTTCATTTTTTTAAGTTGTGTTTTTTTCTGTTGGAAGCCAAAGATGCATACTCGCCATTCCTAGCCAGGTCTTTAATGCCCAGCCAATATAATTAATTATCTTTAATATCAGGCATGTCTTAATCATTGTGACACATGGCGAGAAGACCGCTCATCCCATGTATGTACATTTTGGCTTTTGATAATGTGCTCATCACTACTTGCTTAAAATTACCTAAATGCATATTCATACTTTATCGTTTTTCAAAATAAAGACACCCTCCTAACATAGCCTGAGTATATAATTTAACGGTCACGCGAACCAGGGCACCTTCTTTTTCTGCCAGTTACGTGGCCCTTACGTTTTAGGGCACTTACGTGACGCGGCGCAAGAAAATATCGCGAAATAAATATTTCAATAAATATCGATGTATTGATATTTTGATGTACTTTTCACACCACCAATGTTGGCTGAAATTACAAGGCGTTCGTTTTTTGCTTCACGTGCAGTCGCCCGTTTGTCCGGATTGATTCCAACCTCTTCAGCGCCCTTGGCCAGCAGTTGCAGACACATTCAGATAGAGCGGAAGCCCACGAAACCAGTCGAGATGGCCCTGTACGAGACCGTTGAGAAGGGCGCCAAGAACTCGCCCAGCTACAGCCTGTACTTCAGTGAGTAGCCCCAAAAACCGGGGCCCAATGTGACCCGGCATAACCCTTCGGCATCGGTAATTAGCCCAACTAGTTACACAGACTAGTGCAGCTTAGGTGATCGCAGCCGAGCTGATTATGCAACAGGTCAAACCGGACTCTGAGACTCTGCGTAATCAAGTATATACAGTCATAGAGTGCTTTATCAGCACTATCAGCCGATCCGGCGGAACTGGCGGAAACCCAAGACTTTCGGCTACTTTGGCCTTATCTTATAGCTATATTATACCATGCAGATATCGTAATTGGGAGCTGGATTGGCGCCCAAAATTGGTGACCTTTGGCTAGACAACAGACTTTTAGCTCTATCAATCAAATCGCGTGTCCAGGTGTCACCTATATAATCATTTCTACTACATCCCCTATCCCTTATCCACAGAAAACAAGTGCGGCAATGTCATCTCGCCGATGCACGACATTCCACTGTACGCCAACGAGGAGAAGACCGTCTACAACATGGTCGTGGAGGTGCCACGTTGGACCAACGCCAAGATGGAGGTCAGTCTGTCTTCCCCCTTGATTAATGATATATAACCAGTAATAATTAAACGATTGCATGTCCTAACCCTTAGATTAGCCTCAAGACCCCGCTAAACCCCATCAAGCAGGACATAAAGAAGGGCAAACTGCGCTTCGTGGCCAACTGCTTCCCGCACAAGGGCTACATCTGGAACTACGGAGCCCTGCCCCAGACCTGGGAGAACCCCGACCACATTGAGCCCTCCACCGGCTGCAAGGGCGACAACGATCCCATCGATGTCATCGAGATTGGCTACCGTGTGGCCAAGCGCGGAGATGTCCTAAAGGTCAAGGTGCTGGGCACCATTGCCCTGATTGACGAGGGCGAGACCGACTGGAAGATCATTGCCATTGATGTGAACGATCCGCTGGCATCCAAGGTCAACGATATCGCCGATGTGGACCAGTACTTCCCGGGTCTGCTGCGTGCCACCGTTGAATGGTTCAAGGTGGGGTGTACTAGTCTCCTTTTGCGAGTACTTTTCTAACTCTTTGTAACCCTCAGATCTACAAGATCCCCGATGGCAAGCCGGAGAACCAGTTTGCCTTCAACGGCGATGCCAAGAACGCTGACTTTGCCACCACCATCATTGCCGAGACCCACAAGTTCTGGCAGAATTTGGTGAACCAGAGCGGTGTTTCCAGCTCCATCTCCACGTGGGTTCCATATGCATTCAATCCATTGTGAAATACACAACTACCTATGTCCTATTACAGCACTAACATCACCAACCGCAACTCGGAGCACGTCACTCCCAAGGAAGAGGCCGAGAAGCTGCTGTCCGAGGCCCCAGAGGGGGGACAGGTGGAGGAGGTGTCCGACACAGGTAAGGTTTACTATGTTAGATCGAGCTTATAGCTGCCCCAGCCACTCCAACACCCGCTTTAAACCAGTACCTTGCACACAAATTGGTTACACAAACCCAGCCTGCATGCTTACTAATAGCTACTTTAAGATGTATGTCCAACCAAAATTAAGACCCCGCTGTAAATATTGCTGAAATCCCTTAATTGGCTGGCTTGTTTCTGTTAATCGTTGTACATATGCTTTTATACTGAATGTGATGTTGAAATAAACCCCTTAAAACCACGTCCTTTGTTTTTGCAGTCGACACCTGGCATTTCATTCATCTCAAGTGAGATGGCCTCCTGGGATGATTCCAGCACAAGATCCACGATCTTATCATAGCCTAATCGAATCGGAAATGCTTGCACTTGTGAATTATTGATATTGGAATATATAGTATGTTGAATAAAGTTTTGCACCGCAATCAAATTCGCTGCCGACTCCTCTTGAAATATACAATCTTTATTTATATTTTACGACTAGATCCAAACAAGTTTAAATTAATTAATAGTTATGTAATTGTAGGGCATATGCAATAGTACATAGAATCGAATCGAATTATGCCATGTGGCGTTTGGGTTCGGGGTTTCTCGCTTTCGGATGTGTTTTCGGTTCTATTGCGCGGGGTGCAAATGTGGGGGATGTGTGGAACGTAAAATTTATTGCCGTAACAAGTTAACTTAAGCTTACGAAATAAAAGAAATGTACAAAATAGTTAGGCGTTATAAATATGTATGTATAGAAATCTTTAAAAGAAGACAAAATAATTTATTTACATCAGACATTTTGATTCTTGTTCGTTCGTTCGTTTTCATTTTCCTGTTGGCTTTCTTTACTTGCTCTGCTCTTGCGCGAAGAACTGAAAAAAGTTAGCATAATTCTCGTCATTTTACTAAAACTAAAAGCTCCACGAGACTGATTAACGGATCGATGTGCATGATGGGGTAATAATAGAAATAAATAAAGACCAATTTTCACTTTTCGATATCGGTGCGGATAAGTATCGTGTAATAGTTTAGTATTTGTTTTCATCATTTTTTTTCAACATTTTTGATCTGCTTTTTCTCTTGCTATTTAATTTATTTATTTCTTTAAGTGGTACACATTCCTCGGGTCGATCGTTTCCTGGTTGCCATTGTTTCGTGCCGTGTTCTGCCACAGTTATCAGTAATAATAGTTTTAGTTAATAGTTTATAGAATTAAGTAGCTGCTCGTGCCAGTGACGGTGCCAGAAAATCGTAGATATTCGCAGTTTACTTGCGTCCCAGGGTATCGCGCCATTCGTTATACTTGTCCATCTCCTCGTGCAGCTGAAGAGCCTCTATGCAGGCGTTGAAGAAGGGCGATCCGAAGCATTCTTGCCTGTTTCGAGTAAATCAAGGGGAAGATTAGAAAATCTGGTTGTATTTTAAAATTTTATATAGCACTTGCTCAAAAAGTGGAGCCAAAATGTCAAAAACTGCATAAAGCTGTTTGATTTTCAAAAAATTGCACACAAAATTCGAATTTTTCCAAAAATTTGTATCAAAAAGGTTCAGGAAAAATTTCAAAAATACTGTGGATACATAAAAAAGTATTCCTTTTTAAAATTAAACAGAAATAAAAAACATAATTTTGTTTGAAATAAAAATATTGCAATAAAACAGTATTTTTTACAATCATTTCTATCAAAATGGCTTAGAAAAGTTGTCAAAAACATATATGTTTAAAAAATTTCAAAAAATATCTCTTCAAAATTGTAAAATTTTTCAAAAAGTATAAAATATTTTAATACAAAAAGTGGGTTCAAAAATTAAAGCATATTTGTTAACAGCTCTTAAGCTTTTTCAAGCTTGTGCACTTAATTAGTTATCAAAATATGCACAAGGACAAAAATCAAATTTTAAATTAAAAAAAATAGAAAATAAAAACGTACCAAACAAAAACGGTAAGCAGGCGTTTATAGTCGCGCCTAAAACGCGCGCAAGTCGCCAGCTGCTGTATGTCCGTCTCTTTCGCCTCCTCTATGGCGATCTCTTTCTCTGGCGGCTGGCTGTCTCTTTCGCCGCCTCTATAGCGATCCCCTTTCGGTTCTGTGGATCTCTGGCCGTTTTGCGTCTTGCATTCGCATTCTAATTCTCATTTATCACAATTTTGATGCTCTCAAATAGCCAGCGAATGATTATCTTTTATTATTTTACATGGGTTTATAATCGATATGGCCACATTTGTAATGCAGTCCTTTTTCGCGTGTTTTTACCAGGGGTTTTTGTTTGTGTCTTGCACAAATTGCGTTCTTGCGTATTCTTTTTTTTAATATTTGTAGTGTACTCGTATTCGGATAAATGTAGGATTTAGCGTTTTTAGATAGTTATATATGTAGGCATATATTTGCTCTTTTCGCCAACAGATTTATGCTAGTTAGGGTTTTAATCTTTACAAAATAGCACAAAATTGTAAGGGTAATACATTTGCAAAATACTTTCGGTCTCGTGTGCGGTGTATGTGTGTGTGTGTGTATATTATCTTTTATCTTTATCTTTTCGCCCTTGCGGAAAATCGTGTAAAATGTAAATTTTAAATGCTGATTTTACAATAGAATACAAATACAAAAATAAAAGTAATCATTTTACATTACATAGATTAAAAACAATGGATTTCGTTTTGTTTATTTTATATACATAACGCATAACGCAATAATAATAAAACAAGCTAAGAATACTTAAAAATAAATACTTCGGCTTCTATGTGTATTTTTGGGGAGCTATGAGATCTGCGAACCTCTCAACATCATATCATATCATATCATCTTCGCTTATCTCTCACTCGCCCGGTTATGTTACTTACAACAAACGCATAACGTTCTCAATAAATTAATAAAAATAATTCGTTTTTAAAAAAACACATATACTAAAAACTGTTAGGCATACAGTAATAAATAAGTACGAATTAAATTTGGGCGTTTTAATATTTTAGATTTCTTTGTTCTGGCTCTGCATTTGTGGTTGTAGTTGGATTGGATATATCCCTTCCACCTTACTTGCAGCGATTTTCATCTGTGTGTGTGTGTGTGTGTGGGTGAGCTTGTGGGCGTGTGTGTGTGGGTGTGTGTGAGGGGGCGGGGCGGGAACTTAGAGTTATGTTTCCGGCGCCATGTTGAAGGATATGGGCGAGCCATTCACTACTCTCAGAAAGTGCTGTAAGTTCGAAATTTCCTCTTCGGGTATTAACAGCACTTTCAGGCATGAGCCAAACCATTTTGAATCAAAGCAGTCTTTCCTAAAATTAAAAACAAAAACCAAAATCAAAATCGAACACAACGGTAAAGGTAACTCAAAGTCGGTAAAGGTAAATCAAATAAGAAATCAGGAAAATGAAGTGGTAAGCGGAAATGAAAGTGGAAACGGAAGTGGAAAACGAAAGTGGCAGAAAGTAAGGTGTCTAGTGGTAAACGGGCTTGTGAAGCGGATAGGGCGATCCATTGATCACTTTCAGATAGTGCTGTAGCTGCGACATCTCTTCGTCGTCGATCAGCAGCACCTTCAGGCAGTTCCCGAAGGTCTCGTGGACGAAACAATTGGCCCTGCATCGAATAGACAAGAAATACAGATATAGAGGGTCGCACAGAGAAAAGATAAGCCGAAGATTGCTAATCTAAACTGTTTTATAACATATCAAAAATTTAAAATGACAAATTAGACCTGTAGATTAAAAAATCAGGCTCTTGCTCCTGAAAGTATGCTATCATTTAGTTTAGTTTAGTGTTTTGCATTGAATTACTTTAAAAAAAATTTTTAATTTTTAAGGAGGGACTAATAAAACATATTATCTTTTTAAAAATTAACAAGTTGGCACTCAAAAAATTTAAATAATAGTACTGTATAGGTTAATGTTATATTTCATTATAGAGTATAACGTTTAAAGGCTCTTTGGGGCATTTAAAACTATCATAATTATAGTTCAAAGAAAGATATAAAAAAAGATTAAACAAATATTGGCAGCGTGGTCAGTTGTGGCTTTTCTCTGTGCGGAAAAGTCAAGGAGAAAGTAGCGAAGAAAGAGCCCATAAAGTTTAGAAATAAACGAAGGTCCCGCGAGACCATTTCCCGAGACCCCCGGCATTTGTGTCAGGGTCGGCTCTCAAGCACTTAAGATCATAATTCGACCGAATTAGTATCTATATGGCCTCGCCTCGAACGCTGTAAGGGAATGTCTGCTTCTTCCTTAGATTTCAGTTAGTTATATGTACCATGCTTATGGGTAGCCAATCCCCAAAATAGGAAACTCACTTGCATAATCGGTGTATACTCGTCTCGCGGAACAACTGATAGCAATCCTCGCAGATGCGATCCAGTCGGAAGAACATGGTCTTGTTGAAGATGCCCTTGCACTCCAGATCGAAGAAATTGCTGCGCTTCGACAGATTGTGGTTGTGTGGCAAGGCGGCGAAGATTGGTATCAAGACGAGAAACAGCACCACCGAGATCTTTATGTTGCGGGAACACATCTGCAAAAACATAATAAAATTAAAGGAAAATGAGTGAGAAACCGGAAATGCGTGTTAAAAATATATGGCTATTTATAGGTGCGATCAATTAACTGGCTGGGGTTCTGGTTCTGTGTCTGTTCTTCTGGTTCTTTTCTGGGTAAGCAGATATGGGCCAAGTCAAGCCAAGATCGGTTCGGGTTCGGGATCATGATCGGGATCGGAAACTTGCCGCCAAAGGACCAGGGGCAAGGGCAGGTTACCCAGGTGGCAATCAAGCTGCAACCCTATAAATAGACCTCCGCCGACAGCCGTCTGCCGATCCAAACCGATCCGACTGGCTATAAATAGGACCCCCTATACCATCCCATGCGATCCTCAACTCAACTCAACCCAAAGGTGCAATTGCAATTGCAGTTGCTGTCTTGCCGCAGACGATCTTATCGCAGGAGAGCTCTATAAATAGCACCGGCGATTTCAATGTTTATTGCATTATTTGCCATCTGTCGGCGGGGCTTAATTTATGATGTAAGTTTGCCGCTTTGGCGACTCAAAGGAGAGCCAATTTACAGGCAGACAGAGAGACGGGCCCCCAAAAATACATATAAATGTATATATTATATTTGTTTACTTTGCATATTTTATCAATTTGCGCGCTCGACCGAGAATTACAGCGATGACATATATATACGATACTATATAAGCATTTGTGGCATTCCAAACTATTGAATAATTTGATTAAAAGTGCTAATTTTTCCATTGCACACTGTGCCAATTGTTTGTTTGCACATGACATGTGTGAAATTCTTTCGACCCCCTCCCCAAAAAATTTAAAAACGCTGAATGAAAACCGAAGCAGACACAACGACGTCGACTATTTCGAGAGCAAAGTATCAACAACATGAAAGCGAATTTGAAAGGCATTTTTGCGCTCTTGAGCCAACGATAATGATTTAAACATAAATGTATATATTGTTTTAACGAGTCTTTTTGGCTGTCCAATCTGACGATCTGTGCCTTCTAAGATCTTTGGCAAATTGATTTTTTACTGCCTTGCTGATGTCTTCAATTAAGTTGAGCACATTTCAGAGCTGATTTATGGCCGCTGGCTGGGAAAATATCGAAATGGGAATGGGAATGGGAATGGGGCATTGGGGAATTCTGAGAAAGTTCATCAGACGCCTGCCGTTGGCCTAGCCGAAATATATACATGTTTATACAAATAAATTGGCCGGCTATAAAGGGGAATTTCCACCCCTAAAAGTATGCTCTGCACAGGGGGTCTTATTTGTTTGATTTAGTATAAATTTATTTGAAAAAACATAGATCAAAGGTTAAGCAAGAACCAAATTTGTAATTTACTCATAAAAAGAAATTTTGTTCTTTTATTTGGCAATAAAATTAAATGAAATTATGCTTTCATGTTACAAAAACAACATTTTTCGTCATTGTTGATACCCAAATTAATCAAAGAATTTAATGATATATCCTAATCCTCCGAAAACATTTCGTCACATCTTTCGTCATTGTTATTAACCCGAAATATAATATGTTATATTGTTAACTTAGAGTTTAATTTTAATATATATTTCATTCTTTAAACAAGGAAAATATATTTATAAATGAATAAAAATAAACACAGAGAAAGCACGATCGTGTCATAATGTTTTCATATTTAAAAAAAAACATACTTCTATCAGTTAACTACTATGTTAAAGTAATAAATAATTACGTAACTGAGTAAATACGCAAAATTTACTAACGATTTTATATGACTGAAGTAATGACGAAACTGTTTTTGAAAAATAATCATGAATCGTGATTGATGACGGATGTTATTATGTTTTTATACCATGATTCCCGGTTGAATAATTTCCTTAAAAGATTTCATTTGATCTGACATCATAGTTAATAACTATAACTAACTGAGGAAATGAATAATAAGTACGTTATCGTTGCTTAATAGTATATTCTGAAAATATAAACATCTCATCAATGCTCATTAAAGTTTTAAAATAACTCAAAAGTAAGTCTGACACTTCATTAAAATTGATTGTTCTAACTGCAAGTATATTTTTAAAATAGCTTATTTGGCAAATGTCTCGAAAAGGTAATTTTAAAAATGATAAAGACAGTGTTATTGCCGTTCATATTGGCCACTAAATAAGTTTTCTTTTACGCAAATAGTTTTATTGGCAGCTGGATTTCCCACACTTGGGTGGGCGACACTTTATCACCCCGTCGAAAAGTGCAAGTTGTGGCCGAACGGGGAAGCCAAGTCATATGAAATATATATATTTTTTAGTATTCGTTTCGTCAGAGATCTCCCGACGACGCCAAGTCCCAGTGCAAAGTGCAACAGCTTGCGTACGCGCGACTCAAATCGATTTCCCCGATGGATTTGGACTCAGAGACGTTGGGAATCGGCTTTGGCTTAAGCATCTGGTGATAATTGGCTTCGAGTTGCACGATTTATGGCACCATCGTTCGATGCAGGCGGCTATTTTTAACGCTCTTTTGCCGGCCGCATGAATGCCATAATTGATATGCGAAACGCGTCAAAGATAATGTGATATGGTATCAGGGGGTATCAAAGGGGTTTTGGGGGAACTTTAATGTCGAGCAGGGCAAGTTGAAGGGAAAGTTGAAGGCGAAGAAGTTGAATGAATGATCCATCGATCGATCCATCGAATTGCGTCATCATCGTAAAAAGGAAACAAGCCAATGATCTGAGATCCCATATCTTCGATCTGCAATACAGCCCATATACCATCCCATATAGCATCTTCGATCCCTTGACATGTGCTGGCAATTTGTTTGCATTTTACTTTTGATTAGCTGCCAATTGATTTTATTTGTCGGCCGGCGCTTTGTATCAATTTCAATTCAACTTGGGAGCGTGTCGCACATACAATTCATCCCATTATTCGAATTCCAGCCACTATTTATCCATATGGTCTATACACTATACATATTTGTTTGTAGGTTTATATAGTACACTTGTATATCTGAATCATTGGAGCGAGTCGCACGCACGCCTCTCAATTCCTAATGTTCTTGATTGTACACTATTCAACTCTGATTTGATTGCTGTTTTCGCCGTTTTCGATGTTCAATTTTATTTTTGTCGCTGCTGCCAGGCGACATTGAATGAAGTCATGAGCCGAAAATAATTATGCCAATTATGATAGAAATACGGATTGTGAATTCTTTTTTGCGCAATAGTTTATAATAATTGTGGTCATTGGGGAATTGGTCGAGGGGTATGCTCGATTTTTTAAAAATCGGAAAGAAAAGTGGTGTTGTAGAAAATTACCATTATGAAGATTTAAATATGAATATTATCTGGAGTTTGTTTAAGAAATATTTAAAAAAATTAAAAACTTGTACTAAGATTGTACTAAATTTAAGTGTAATATAGTATTGTAATGAGAAGAAGGTAAATATTCTTACTCGGATCGAAAAAAGTCACTAAAAAAAGTTGTTGGACAAAATTACCAATATAGAGATATAATCTTGAGGTGTGTTTAGGTAAATTTTAAAATACAGAAAAGCATTTCACAAAATTTTAATATAATTTAATATTATATTGATATCAAGTTAAATGTTTTTCATTAGATTGAAATATGTCAAGTCATCTCAAGGTCGACCCCTTTTTACAAAGAACACCCGGAGCTGTCACGAAATGCTCTATAAATAGAAAACATGGTGGGTTCAAGTCCAGCGATTTCTTATCAGTTCCTTTTAAAATCGTCTCGGTATGTGGGAAATGTTATCGCTAGATAAATGTACATCTAAAGGAATTAAGTGGATTATAAGGCGGCACTGAAGCGACTGCAAAACAGTGCATTCTATATGCCAGATACACCGGATTGCGATACTATAGTACCATATATCTTAACGCTTGGCTACGCAAGCATGGCAAGCCGAAAGCCAAAACATAAAACACAGGCCCCCCCTTTGGTTTATTTTTTTTCTTTTTTTTTTACGGCGCAAGTAAAAAGTGCTTAGACACGCAAAAAAAAAAAACAACACCACTGGCGGCAGAACAACAACGAAAAAAAGAGAAACATATAAAAACATTCATGGCGAGACTGCTTGGTACCAGCTACTACAGCCTATAGACTATGGCTAAATATATGTATATACTTCCAAGTGTGTATGTTTAACTGGCACAACGGCCACAGAGCTGCGCCTGCGCGGATCACTAAATGCTGCTGTTAATTTGATGGACATGCAGGAGTCTCGGGATCGGTATCGGTCCCAATTTGCATGATATGTGTCTTCGATTAATATTCATTTATTCATGAAATCTCTGGGATATGCTAAACAGGAAAGGCCGAGTGAAAAACCAGTGTGCACTGGAGAAAACACTTCCCAAGTCTCTTGGAGATCTCATTTAGCACATTTCGCATATCATCCGAATAAATATTCACTTGCATCATATGACTGGGATTTTATTTTGCTTAGATATAAGTATGGACTCTTAGGAGGTGTATTTACGGTAGAGATAAGACGGAACTCATTGTTTTCCATGAATACCAACCACTATGATGCATTGCTTGATAGGTGCTGTTTATAGATATTATGGAAAGTTTAAGAAATGTGGTAACAAAAAGCCCGAATACGTAATATTTCACACTTATAACAATTTCTTAGAAATGGAAAGTGCATAAGATAATGGAAATAACCGTATAGAGTGGAATTATCACACATATCTTTCGGGTTTTAATTGGGTTGAAATTAAACACGGATAAATTTCTTTGTTCAATATTCAATTCCATATTCAGTTATAAGAGATCAACATTCAAAGTAAATGCTATTAATTTTAGAAATGAGAAAGCTTAGACAATATAAATTTGTGATGGATAGATAGGTAGAATTTTTCTGCCACGCTCTAAAACATTTTAATAAATATTCATATATATTCAAACTATAACAGACACTTTATGGGTTTAAAATAGGAAACACTAATCTATTTCTTTTTTTAATTGTACCATATTGTTTCTAAAAAACAATTG